CTTCATCGCCCGCAGTTCAGAAGTATACCAAGGGGCTGTCTGGGCTCGGTGAGCAGGGAGAGGGCGCTTAGGTGCAATCGTGTCAACAGCCCGGGTCATCTCCTTATTCCATAGGGTGACCTGAGCTTCGACAGGAGCGCCGACCATATCAGACGGATAATCCCCCAGAGCATTCAGGAATCCATCTGGATCCATTAGTCTCCGAGGGCGGATCATCTTAATAGATCCCCCACCCTTGCAGAGGGAAGAAGAAGCTAATAGACTAAACTTGACCAGGAAGTGGTCTGACCATGACAATGGGGTCACAACCAACCCCTCCACATCCAAACCACCATCTTCCAGTCCCGTTGAGAAAACCAGGTCCAAGGTATGGCCCTTCTCATGCGTTGGGCTGATGACACATTGAGACAGCCCCATGGTTGTCATGGTGGCCATCAAGTTCTGAGCCGCCCCAGTCAAGGGAGCCTCGGCATGAATGTTGAGGTCCCCCAGCACCAACAGCCTGGGAGTCCTCAACACCAGGTCCGAGACTACCTCCGTCAGCTCAGGCAGGGAGACTGCTGGTACGCAGCAGGGTGGGTGGTACACCAACAGAATCCCTAACCTGTCTTGCGAGCCCAACACACAATACAGGCTCTCGAGACCTCCTCTCAAAGGGACAGGAAGCCTGGTCAAGGAGATAGAACTTAATTTTTAACGTATTTCAGATTGGCCTAATGCTAGATCCTAAAGGAATGGCAAGATATGATCAGATAAATCACCAGTGAGGCAGCTGTCAGCAGCTAACAGCACTTAAGTGATACAGCGATAAAAAAGAAACAATAGAAAAAAATTAAAAGCATCTGAAACCCATGATCCTGGCATGCAATGCTTGACAAACCCCACAGACACAATTTATTCTGACAGATGCATCCACATATGCCAAAATGGTTCAAAACAAATCATATCCGTAATCAAGTTAAAATAAACAAGCCTCTGGTAGGTGTTTTAAAAAAATACACTTTCTGACAAAAAACCCTCCACCCTCCTTCCCAGCCAACCCCCCCCAAAAAACAATTGTGTTTAACTGTACATCATGTAGAGTGCTATATTTAAATTGATTTCAAGCATGCCAAATTGGACACAAAAACAGGAGTATTGTGACATCTAACTACACCCTAAATTAAAATGGCCTAGGAGGCAGAAAATGGTCAGCTTCCTGTTCCTTTCCCTGACAGGAAATGCATGAGATGAAGAATCATTTGCTGCCCTTTCATGATACTACAAATCTTGTGACACTAGAAGCATCATGCTTCCAGGGGATGTGAAGAAATGCCAAAGGAAGCAGAAGACTGAGATTTTCATAATGAAAGAAATATTTTTATCCATTAAAACTTTTAAAAAAACACTAGATTTTTGTTTTTAATTTTAAATCTCCCCCCCAAAAAAGGGAGTAGTGCAACTGTAAAGGGAGATGGGTTGTGATGATACCAAGAATTTTGGGAATCACTAGTCTAATAATATGGCTCACAACAGGGAAGAGGATCAGAATACCTCTAACTACTCTCCATGGCTTAGCTGTTTTGAGGACAAAATGGAAATCTGCCAGTGTTTTGCAGCACATTTTCAAGATTATGTTTTTCACAGCAATCCATGTAGGGGGAAAAATATTTAAATGCCAGTAAACCTGAAATGTGTCAGGCATCTGATAAATTTAGTACTAGAGAAAGTAACTTAAGGTAAAAGTCAGCATTGGGTCTTCAATTTCCTGCACAATCCTTTTCTACTAGTGAAAGCTTTGATGTCAAGGAAAGCAGTAGCTGACTGCAATACACTGGCTTTACATTGTTATGTGAAGTCCCCAACTCCACAATGTTTTTTTTAAAGATATGACAACATATAAGTGCTTAGCTAAAAACTGAGTTGCAAAGCAGCTATTCTATTGTGCATTAGATAGAAGAGGAATCTTGCTGTGAACTTGCTACGCATCTTACCTGGTTTGAGGTGAGCAAATGGAATTTCCCCTGTTAACAGTTCCCAGAGACACAAAGCGTAGCTGAAAACATCGGCTTTTATAGTGTACCGCGTACACTGTGTGAATACTTCTGGGGCCATCCAGCGTAGATTCTGCACATCAAGACAACATCAATAATGCAATATCTGTATGTTTTGTTTCTTCTCAGGGGATCACCTCTCCTCCCCATGTTTATATCTGTTTGCTTTCTGGAAATATGCTAACAAAATAATTGTATTAATATGGGGGGGGGGAAAGAATAGAGAGTAGGCTGTTTCCATAATAAAGGTAGTCTTCGCAGCCAATTGCCAAGTCTTTCATTATCAGTTACCATGTGGCACCGACTAGTGTTTCTGCATAAAATCAAAACATTATTTAGCTGTTTCTAGTCTGAGAGAACCAAGTGACGCTTCAGTATAAAACTCTGCTTAATGATGAATAGATCGACATGCTCATTCACACATGGATGAATATTGTGCCTTCTCTTGCAAGGGTTGCCAGGTGAACACTCTTAACATTCATTGAGGTTTTAGGGCCAAAACCTGAGACTAGGAGGTAGGTTCTTACAATGTGCTGAGGCAATGGGCCTTGGAAGAAGCTGGGAATAAGTGGTGATGAGCACCTGGACGTCATACCAGTCTTTGCAGCTGACTGTGGAGTAAGCTAATTCAGAGGGGCAAGTTTCAGTAGGGTATTATCTGCCCTGATCTAAAAAAAATAAATCCTTGCTTGGTAGTCTCCACACATTTCCATTTTTGAGCAGAGCTTAGGTGATAGCATAGTGAAAGCAAAACAACATGATACTGAAATCCCTGCCAAACAATGTTCAGATATTCACTTTGGCCTTAGGCTCATCCACGGAGCTGTAGAATGTGCAGAAACCATTCAACCAGTTTATTGTGGCCATATGGCCAAAATGGGGGGTGATACTATCATAGTGAAAGCTATTAAAATCTTATTTGGGAAGAAAGGAAACCAAAGAAAGTGACACTGGATGGAGACAGTACAGGCTTTATGAGCATACTGGGATCAACAATTTCCATGTATCATTAGCAATGGTTAGATTCGGGACATTCTAGGCTTCTAGGATGAGGCCTAATTGCAATCCATATCTGCATATTACAAGTGACCACTTCCCTTCCCTATTTTGAGAAGGTGTGTTTGAAGATGAAACTATACAATACAGATAGCCTGGGATTAAAAGAATTAATTGCGTAAGAACTGAGAAAATCTGGTTGTTCCACACTTCCCATAGCCTGAAAATCAGCTTGCTTTTTTATGTGATTGAGAACTGTGAAAGAAGTGTAGCCTTAGTTTGCCAGTATAATTATGCAGCCACAGAAGTGTGTATAAATCACATCTGGGACACAAACAGATTTTGCCATGTGTGGATGGGCTATTGGTAATGTGCAGTTTGGCCTTGAGAAGGTGGGCTTCAGGTGTGCCCACACACCAGGGCTTCTCAAAGAATTCTCAGCAGAAAAACCTTGTTTTTTTTTTCTGAGAGCTCTTCTTGAAAACTAACAGAGCCCATTACAATGTAAGCAGGTTCACCCATCAATAGTCACAAGATGAGTCTGAACTACAAGAGCTAATATAAGAAGTAGCAAATGCTAATGCTGATTACTGATGCAGGCTAGAAACTCATTTCTGAGTGCAAAGCAGAGAGAACATTTTGTACCCACTAATCTTCGTTGATCTCAAAAACTGACACAAAAGAAACACATGGCGTACACCATCATTATACAATAGCATGTACTCTGGCAAAAGAAAATCCTAATCACGTTACTTGCTTCTAGTCTGGGCTTTCACACACATTTGATAGCAATTTGTATTTTTTAGAACAAGAAAAAGAAAAGACAAACCCCAGGTTGTTTTGTCATATTGTCTTCATCCAGAGATTGCAGAAATCTGGATTCTGAGATTTAAAAAACAGAACACAAACAGAGTGTATGTGGACAAGGAGAAAAATGTAAACAACCATTACAGGTGAACAGTAGCTTTATTTTTTAAAGCTAAGAATGAAGATTGGTTCCATATTTGTAAGTTGTGTACAAGTGGATCAGAAATACAGTCACCCTGTAAGGGTTAAATTATGGTATGCTTGGTACATCATGAATTAATTAATTGGCTTCAGTGAAAGCACAGACATTGGTATTTGAATGTCTCAGTTATTCAAAAGTCAAACAGACATGAATCACCAAAATCAGGGACAGCATTCTGTTGGGGACTTTTATACACACAACTAATACTATGCAACCAGTTGCAGTATTTGACAAGGGGTATGCTACATAGCTGGTTATGTTACTGGTTGTGTAACCAGTTGCCCAAAATATAACTTACAAAATAGCTCACGAGATTCCACAATATTAGTAGTGCATGCAGAAATCCCTGGTAGGATACTGGCTCAAATGTCCAGTCTTACACTGCTTTTTGCTGTGGCCCATGACAATGATCTTGAACTGACTTCTTTCACCCTCCTGATCCAGCCTGAACAAGATCTGCTTTTATTTTTGGTCTTCTAAAAGGCTGGTTTTACTTTCTACCAATGTATCCCCCTGCCCTGCAAACCTACAGGTAATCAGGTTCCCAGAACGTGTTGATTTTCTAAAATCAGGGACAAAGTTGGAGCCAACAAACCATGACATTTCTTCCCCAGTCCTTCCTGGAATGGCCATTTCTTCTGCTCCATGATCAGAGAGGAGTCCAGGGACAGCAAGTGGCAGCTTATACTCTCATCAAAAAATTCTTGCTCTTGCATTCGCTTCCAAGCATATCACCATGCTACACCCTCATAATAGCATTTGCTACTATTTCATTCACTTAAATTGTTCTTATTTTTCTGGACACATTTGTATGACACACACCTACACAATCTGGGGAGGGCAGCAGGCAACAGGATTCAAGGGGGAAATGAGGAGGAGTAACTATGACAACTTCAACCATGGTCTTAGAGTTGCAGCATGAATCCCCCAGCTTGCAGGTTGATAACCCAATGGCATACTTGCATATAGGCCCTCACATATCAGCAACACAAACAAACAAAGAAACAAAGTTAAAAGAGTAGTTTCTCTTGCTTCCATGCTGCTGGCTATAGAGGAAGGGAAGACCCCCCTTTTTGTAGCCAGCATAGAAAAGCAGGACACTACCCTATTAATAGAATGGTTTGAAAATGCCTTCTACCCAGTGGGCTGGCAAAGAAACAGAATATTCTAACGTTTTCCTACCAGCCCATTCACTGTGGAATTCCATGGACTCACATTTTCATAGAATTCACTTATGACTTGTCAAATGGTCACCTACAAGCCTGCTCACACCTTTGCCCACGTTCCTAGAGCTGATGGTGTAATATTCTGCCTGTGTGATGAAGCTGGAAGATTGTGTGATGGATTCAAGTGACTGTGATCATCCTCGTCCACCTTCCATAGGGCCTGCAAGGCCCCTCCTTCATAGACCTGGCTCCTCCATTCCTATTTGCCACCTTACTGGCACTTGAAACAGCTGAGAATTGCTGACCTGCATGCTTCCGAGTTGTCCCCATGCAAATAAATTGGAGATCAAAGGGAAAATATGTCCTGGGTCTGGAAGAGCTGAGTGGTACAGCATTTAGTGAATTCCCCGTTTGTTTTCTGCTCTAATCAAGGGTCAAGGGAGGGTGAAATGTGGGATGGTATGACAGCAAACCCACAGGGCATCTCCTGTCAATCTCCATCTGAAAACAGCTGAGGACTGGACCCAAATGTGCACTGCTCTGCTGTTCTCTGTGTCAATCAGCCATGTATTCTGGAGGTAAGATGGGATCTCAATGAACCAGGAAGGGCAGTTTAAACCTCATAACCTCATAAGCCGAGATGAGGTGTGCATAGGGGAGTAAGCTGTGTGTGTCTGTGTACATGTGAGGAAGAGTGATGGGAAATAATAATTTTTAAAATGGAGATGGAAAGAGGTCATGTCAGCTGAAGGATTCTATTGGTCAAAGAGAGAGAGAGAGACAGAGAGAATAATGCTCCTTGTCTCTGATGTATGTGTGACAGACTGAATGGGGGAAGGCTCTGTGTGTCCATTTTGCATCTGTGAGTAAAAGAAGGTGGGAAGGCTGTGCCCACCAATGTTTACTGCCCTCAAGAACAAAAATGTTACCTGACCTTGATCTGGACCATAGAGCACATGGGAGCAAAGCAGTTATAGGACAGGCTGGTAAATATGCGGCTAACCTTCCCCTTCATCCATTTTTACAAGTCTCCTAAAAGTGCTACTCAACTTGAAACAAGGCAAGGAGACAGTGGCCATCTTGCTTACTGGAAAAGTTGGGGGGGGTTAAGCTGATATGGCAAATTAACGAGGTACAGCAGCAGTGGTAGTAACAGCAGGAGGTGCAACCCCTGGGAAGCCAATGGATAAGAATATAATTCCCAACCCATGGAAGTTACTCACTTCCACAGAAGAACAAAAATTTGTGAGTGCACCCAAAATTTCAAAAATTTACTTCACAATTCACGAGAGAGTAAAGTCAAATTTAAATAGGGCTTTATTACTTATCTTATGAAAGAAAATTAGTTGGAGCTGCTCAGAGACTATTGTAAATGAATGAATGAATGAATGAATGAATGAATGAATGAATGAATGAATGAATGAATGAATGGCATAAGATAAGAAATATTCGGGCTGCCTTACCACCAGTCTACAGTACATGTTCAACAACTACCTATTGATTCAGCTATTGATTCTCTTCTAGCAGATGGAAAACCAAATCTGAAAAACATGCTGCGACTCCCTTTAATCCCCAAATGCTTACCTCCGAAGTCAGCAACCACAGCATGGCCATCTTCATAGAGGAGGATATTATGACTGTGGAGAAAAACAGTTGCTGGATGAGGCACACGTGGACATTTCTTGTCAAGCAGTCTATGCCAGACGGCCACCACTGAATCCAATACGGTTGAGCAGACTGTCATATATGGTCAGCACCTCAGGCCCCTTTCCTGTGCTCTTTCATGCCTTCCCTAATCACAGTCTTATTTTTAGTCAAATAGCCTTTAGCTGGGTCTTATAATTATTATTACTATGGGGTGGGGGACCAATTCAATATTAAAAATGGAGAAAGAAATTTTGACAGTTTAGTTAAGTACAAATGTCAGAGTCATTCTCTAATTACTTGGAGAATGAGTACATCTCCTAATTAGTGGAAGATCATTTATAACAGGTTTATTAATTATATGACAGCATTACCTAGGAGAAATGAAGATTATGACATTTGGGACTGAACCCAATGATAACCTTTCAGAAAAATCAGAAGGCCTGATTATCCTCCCAGTTGAGCTCCACTCAGCTAAAGTGGGCTGCTCCTAAATTACAATGGCATAAACGAATGTAGGAAAAGGCCCACAAAATCCAGCTGTGAAGAAGCTACTGTCAGCAGCTATAAGAGCTTCATAAGAAGAAAGATAGTTTGGCTGATCTCAAAAGGCTAATTTCTCTTAGAAATTTAATTTGACAGACATCATGCATTCTTCTGATTTTGCTCCTTTCCTACTTTGCATAAGGAGACTTTTAGCCTTATGAAGAATTTACATGGAGCTTCTCTCTTTCCCAATGAGATGATTTTTACAATCATCTCATCATCAAACCCCTGTTGAGAAAGGCCTTGAGAATGATGGTGTCACCGTGTAATGATGGAAAGTGTCACCAACACATGCAAGGAGAGAGTCTACAATCTAGGATGGCTTGGTCAACAGTGGAAGGTAACAGTCAGAGCAAATAGGGGGCACCATAAGCCTGTTTGGTAGACTTGGCTCCATGTCACACTCAGCAGAAGAGGAAACCCAGGTGTCTTTGATGCAGAAGAAATACACAGGTCAAGTCACCAGCAGACGGTGAACAGAGTAATAGCAAAGGCTGGAGAAAAGTGAAGGCTTCTAGAAAAAAGGAAGTCTGCTAGCCAAAGCAGGCCATTGTGCCCCTCCTTCAAAAAAGGGAATGATAGCAATAGCTTGGATATAGCCTCCAGTAAGATTCATTCTTACTGTTATTATTCCAATTTTGCCAACAGCAGAGGTGCTCACTTGCCTCCAACCTCTGCCTTGCCCTCAGTTGCATGAGATATTCTCAGACCTGATCCGCTGCGATATTCCAGTGTTAACACAATTTGTTTGGATTAAAAAAGCAAGGACTCTTCCAATCTTTCTGCTCCCTTTCCAAGCCTCTGTGTCAATTTATTCAAAGATACAGTCCCTTCAACTGAACTGTAGTATAAACCCTCACAACTGGCAATGCTGTGAACATCATTTGCACTTGTTGTTCGACATATGTGCTGGTACCTTTAAGCAGAACTTGGAAATGGCATCTCTGAGTCTATTTCTCCTGGAATCTCCCAGCCAGCATGGTGGGGAGGTTTCAAAGCTTATAGTTAAATATATATATATATATATTTCTGAGCTCTGTCTCGCATGCAGCTGGCTTGTCTCCAGGCTTTCTTTCCCTCTTTCTTTCTTCTTACTGACAGAACATACCCATTCATATTCAGATGTAATTCAGCTGCTGATTAAAATGTGAGGAGGGGAATTTGTTGTGCCCAAGGCTTATGATCAAGAAGCAATCAAAAACACCATTTAATAAGGGATCACCCTGTTTCAGACCTCATGTGATTACTCCTCAGGAGTAGCTATACAGATCCAGCTATATTGTGAGGCCTGACAAACATTACCACACGAAAAAATGCTCTTGAAATATGTTTCTGATGTTGCAGCATAATGTATAACATACCCCAAAGCAATCCTCAGAATTGTGTGTAGAATCTTCATCCTGCTTTTTTCCCTCCCTCCCTCTCGCCTTCCTTCCCCACCACTGGAGAAATCTGGAATTACACCTCTGTCACCTAGGATATGTTTAATGGTTCAGACAGCTTTTCTGCTTGCTACTGTTGATAAGGGTGTTTGCCTTGCTCATTACGCTTAACTCCTGGCTATGTTTTCTTTACTTTTCTCCTTCTCTCTTTCATGTATGACTATTTCCTGAATGCTGTTCCTCAAGACCTTCTGGCTTTAGATCTCACCTTGTCCTTGATCACAGATTCTGTTTACTCCCTTCCCTCTTAATTGGATGGCCAGCTTGTCATTGCTGACTTAAACTGAGCCGACTTTCTGGTTTTTATTTTTGATGGGATTTCTGGTGGCAGATGAGAGATGGGTATTCAGACAAGAGCCTAGACAGACGGGGTGCCTCTGACTGTCATAGGATCCATTCCTTGTTCACTGAACATTTGTCTGTTTGAGAACATATTCTGAAATGGAGATAGTCTTCTTTCTAAAAACAGCAAATTCTGTCACTGATACTTGCAATTGCTTCTAACTCAAATGACCTTCTATATATTTCCACTTTCCTAAAGCCATGTCCCCTCTGAAGACAAATAGTACCTGTCTGCCATACTGAAAAAAATAGGCATTTTTTTCAAGAGGAATCACTTTGTGATACAACATTGAGAGTGATTAATCTGCTTGGGAAGATGTCTGAGGGTTAACTATCCTAAGATAATTAGACTTCATTTTAAACCTTAGCATATGAAAACCCTTCGTTTACCAACATGTCTGTCCAAATTACTCAAAAATAATAAAAAAAACCTAGGAAAATAGCACTGGGGACTGATTTCTAAGGCAGGACTGAGAAAAGTTTGGTCCTCTAGGTGTCAGACCTTAGCTCCTGTCATCCTTCACAATTTTCTATGCTGGCCAGGGCAGATGGGAGTAATCCACCAACATCTGGAGGGCCATACAGTCCCCACCCCTGTCACAAAAGCTGAAATACATGTTGTGCCTCTTATGTGTGTACACTTAAAAGCTCTTTGGTAGTAGCAGTGCTCCATGTGGAAAAAGCAAATTTAAACGTCCCTGCATAGGTACCCCATATAGTCACATGAAACCTGTGTATACCACAGAGAACACTGACATCTTACAGACTACAACTTTGGTTTTGAAAAGTAACATATTTTCCATTACAAGTTACATATTATTCTAAGAGTAACACATTATGACAAATTACTTTCTCAGGATTTAAAAATTAGTAATAAAAAACAGATTTTATAAAAAGAATCATGGTCAAATATGGCCCCAAATCCTCCTAAACTCTTTAATGTAACTAGTACATGTTAATTCATTAGCTAAAAACAGATACAACTAGATTATCAGTAGTTACGCTATTTTCAAAAATGTTGAATCCTCTAATACTGCCATAATGCTAATATAGTGGGGTCTTGACTTGAGAACTTAATCCGTATTGGAAGGCGGTTCTCAAGTCAAAAAGTCTGTAAGTCAAGTCTCCATTGACCTACAGTGCATTGAAAACCGATTAATCCCGTAACAGGCCGTTTTTGTTGCATTTTGGGTTTTTTCTGGTCTGTAAGTCAAATCTCAGTCTGCAAGTCAAACCTAAATTTTGTGGCCAGAGAAGTATGTAACTCAAAAAGTCTGTAAGTCAAGCCGTCTGTAAGTCAAGGGTCCACTGTAGTGTACCTTTTAAAGGTGAATTGCCTTAAGTTAAGAAAGCACTATAGATATTATTTGTTGGGTATTGTGTCATACAACTCCACATGCAACAGGCAATGGCTACAGTGATTTCTTAATGTACAATGTTTGTATACTTTACTTCTTATGTACTATAGGTTTATATGTATTCCTGAAGGCTTTCATGGCCAGGACCTGATGATTGTTGTGGGTTGTGGCCACAGACAGAGTTCTGACTCCTGTCCTCTGATGGTGCCGGCCACAGAGACTGGTGAAATGTTAGGAAGAACAACCAGCCAGAGACTGGTGAAATGTTAGGAAGAACAACATTCAGAACATGGCCAAAGAGCCCGAAAAAGCCACAACAACCTATACTATAGTCAAAGATGTTTCAACAATGATCACCATATTTTATGTCACTTCATTCTGTTGGCAATAAGTTATGTCAGATTAACTATGCAAGAAGATTTTGGACAGTATAATTATGCCTTCATTACTCTGAAAGGTAACATGTTACAGGTATTGTCCAAACCCAGAAAAATCACAGTTTGGACTACCAGGTTTCCCCAGCCAGCACAGTCAGATTGCCTAAAGCATTCTGGTAGCTGCACCCCCAAAAATAACTTTTACAAGCACTGCTACTGTTGACACTTGTAAAAGGTAGCACCTAGGCTCTGTGACATCCATAAATTCCACATTTTAAGTTCCTATGTGCTTTTTATTTATATCTGACATATAGCAACCCTAATAGGGTTTTCAAAGTGTGTGAGATCTTTAAGCAGTGAGTTTCCACTGCTGACCAAGGATTTGAACCCCCATCTCCTGAGTCCTAGTTCGTCACTGTCCACTACATCACATTGGTTCTACTAAGGCATACATTTTTGGATGATGCATGAGGTAAGACATAAATAATCTGTAATACAATGGTATTCATCTTGCTTCCTCAGTACTTCAGGGTTTCACTATGCCAGAAGACCTTTCAACTGATCACCGTTTTCTGTGTCACTTCATTCAGTAGGTAAATAATATGTTCCATGAAAAGGACTTCTTTTTTATCCACCGGGGGGTGGGGGGGGGAGACTACCAATGATTTTGCATGCCCAAGCAGCACACAGAGAACTTCTCCTTTTTCTACTCTCTCTACAAGTCCCATAGTCTATCCCCTCCACCTCCAACATAATGAAGATGTCCCAGCCCCCATTTAAACTGCTATTTTCTCCAATATGAGCCTACACAGACTTTGAAAACCTCAGGGGTCAGCCTTGTCTCAGTACCACAAATGTTTTTGGCCTCCTGGCGGCGTTCTTTTGTCAGGCAATGGAAGTCTCCACAAAATAGCTAGGCTTGTCGCTC